TTAAAAAAAAAGAAATGGGACATTTCCCTAGTTCCCTGGAAAGAAAAGACAAAAGGGGGGCGGGCGGATATGCTTTCATACCTGCAAGGTTATGTTACTGTAGTCTCATAATAAAGCGCCAACTCTATTAATATTCATGGTTTTGGTTTCTTGTCTGGGCTACCTTGAGTGAATTATGCAACCAAGGGGAAAAGCAATTTCTTCCTGTCCTCTTCCACTCAATTTCCTTTCTGTTTTTAAGCAAAATATTATGCAGTGTGGGCATTCCACAAATATTATTGCCAGAAACGTCTAATGATGGTGTGTGCCTTCAAGTCAGTTTTTGATTCCTGGCAAATACCTGGACAAGTCCATGCAGTCGTCTTGAGATGATTTCGGAAGTGGGTTGCCATTGTCTACTTCCTAGGCTGAGGGTTACCCAAGTGGCTTTGTGCCTAATGCAGGACTAGAACTCACAGTTTCCCAGTTTCTAGCCTTAATCATCACATCACTGGCTCTCTTTTCTAATCATGAGGTGCAGGTTAAAAAAAAGCCAAGATGCATGCTTGTGGCCCTTGCTAAAAAGGCAGGTTGCAGGTTAAAAAGAGCCTTCAAACTTGCCCACACCCAGGCAAGCAAATGAACAGCCCTCTGGGAAAATAAGTAGTTAGCTATGACATGGAGTTAAATGAATTACTGATTAGTGTTGCCTCAAACACTCACACTTGCTGCTTCTTTTGGTAGAAATTACTGCTCCCAAAAAGTACCCTGCTTTTGTTTTGCTCATCGCAAAATCCTCTGTAAGGAGACATGTGGTTTTCTTACCATATAAAGAAGGGATAAAAGTTGCTGCAGTATATAGAGAAAAGCATATTTCCATATGGATAGTCTTTCCCTGAGACATTCCCAGAGACAGAAAGCAAAGAGAATATAGTCATCAAAGTTACAAAAGAGAAGCATAAAAATAGAAGAACAAGAAAAGAAGTGATCAATTTCAGGCCCAAGTGAAACTTTTTGTGAGAAGGGAATGGCAGACTGAGCTGTGAACTGGACACTTCTATATTGTTGCAGATTATGTACAGCTCTTGTTTTCCTTCCTTCCTTCCTTCCTTCCTTCCTTCCTTCCTTCCTTCCTTC